ATTGTTCACATTGAGTTACAGAACACCGACAAAAAGCTCTTCATCTCAGTTGCATAGGATGAAACACATTTTCTAAAGTAGGTAAGCATAGCCAAAGTTCCATTAAGTTACCCTTGATTGATGGTGTTATTTTTACAACATTGTTCAGTTTCATGTTGCCATTTCTTATGCATGCCCCGCGTAGATGGTTATGATACAGCTAAATCAAATTTTAATTTTGTGAGATGCATAGGCATATTCCATGTTGTCCTTTATATCTTTCAAGCAAACATATGTGTGAAGTTGATCTGCACTTAAATTGTGTTCTATTTTATAAAAGATTTGAACAAAATATGTGAGAAAAATTACAATAAAAATTAATAATCACAAATGAAATCAGCTGAATATGTTTTTTATTCAGTGATGAAGGTCTCTTTCTGGTGGTATATAGCCTCAATTAAATATGATAATTCCAAGCCAGATTGCCTGAAGTCTGTATATGTATGTTAATGTAACCTGCACACATATATTTGCAGTTTTGTTAATATCTTGAATAGCTACAACTGGTATGAATGACAGTTGAACAATATGCAGGGTAGTGTAGGAAATGAATCCTTGAAAGTAAATCCAGTTGTTAGACAGAGTAGCTGTCAATAACTGTAGAGTAGCCTTGTACATATATGATTAAATGGTACAAATTAATTCAATGCAAATAACTGTTTAATTGCAATTGTCCAAAGTGTGGCCCTCCGTTTACTTTGCCAAAGTAACTGTGGCCCTCAGACTAAAACTGTTGCCCACCCCTGCTCTATGGTGTCTTATGATTCAGCCTCAATTATCGCCCCTCAAGAACAACTACACCGCTTTACAACTATAGGACAGGAAGAGCTAAATAAACTTATCATTGCATCTAAACCAACAACATGTTTATTAGATCCAATACCAACTAAATTTCTGAAAGAAGTGTTACCTGTAGTGGAAGAGCCTCTTCTTAATATTATTAACTCGTCTTTATCTTTAGGTCATGTTCCAAAAATATTCAAGCTGGCAGTAATAAAACCTCTCATTAAGAAACCGCAATTAGATCCAAATAACTTAGCAAATTACAGACCGATTTCAAATCTTCCATTTATGTCTAAAATACTAGAAAAGACTGTGTCCGCTCAATTGTGCTCTTTCATGCAAGAAAATGAGATATATGAAAAATTTCAGTCAGGATTCAGACCGCATCATAGCACAGAAACTGCGCTAGATAAAATTACAAATGATTTACTTTTAGCTTCTGACCAAGGCTGTATCTCAATATTAGTTCTACTCGATCTTAGTGCTGCGTTTGACACTATCGATCATAAAATACTCTTGGATCGACTACAAATCTACACTGGTGTTCAGGGACAGGCATTAAGCTGGTTCGGATCGTATTTATCAGACCGTTACCATTTTGTTTGTTTAAATGGGGAAAAATCGAAGATAACGTCAGTAGACTATGGAGTGCCGCAAGGATCGGTGTTAGGCCCTCTGCTATTCTCAATATATATGCTGCCACTTGGTAATATTATAAGAAAACATGGAATTAATTTCCACTGTTATGCTGATGACACTCAATTATATATTTCATCACGGCCAGATGAAAACACTAACTCATCAAAATTGACAGAGTGTCTTAAAGATATAAAATGCTGGATGACGCATAATTTCCTGCTACTAAATCCAGATAAAACGGAGGTATTACTTGTTGGTCCAAAAAACTATCCACAAAACCACTTACAATACAACTTTAATATAGAAGGATGTCCTGTTACTTTATCCTCTACGGTAAAAGACCTGGGAGTTATACTAGACCACAACTTGTCTTTCGAAAATCATATTTCATATGTTACAAGAACAGCCTTTTTCCATCTTAGAAACATTGCTAAATTACGTAACATGCTATCTGTTTCCGATGCAGATAAGTTAGTTCATGCATTCATGACCTCGAGACTAGATTACTGTAATGCTTTATTAGCCGGTTGTCCTGCATCCTCAATAAACAAGCTACAGTTAGTGCAAAATGCAGCCGCTAGAGTTCTTACTAGGTCAAGAAAATATGATCATATAACACCAATTTTATCATCTCTACACTGGTTACCTATCAAGTTCCGTATCAATTACAAAGTACTATTACTGACCTATAAAGCCCTAAATGGTTTAGCTCCTGTGTATTTAATGGACCTTCTATCGCCCTACAATCCATCGCGTTCTTTAAGATCACTAAATTCGAGGCTTCTAGTCATTCCTAGGATATCTAAGTCCACTAAAGGAGGGAGGGCGTTCTCACATTTAGCTCCTAAACTCTGGAATAGCCTACCTGATATTGTTCGAGGCTCTGACTCGCTGTCCCAGTTTAAAACTAGATTAAAGACGCATCTTTTTAGCCAAGCATTTACATAATGCTTACCTTTTATAATACTGCTGAATCAGATCAAATGCATTTAATACTATAAAACTTGAAGAGACTGTAGGTTATCTGTATAGGTTGCATAGTATTTGCAGTCATTACGTTCCTGTGTATATTGCGTGAATGACGGGTGGTTGGGCAGATATTGTGTTGCGGTAGGTAGTATGCCATACGGAACCGTTGTCCACTGAAACTGCCTATTAACGCACCAGTGGGGCTCGACAGCCTTAGTCAAACGGGTTGGCGCGTATGGTTGGGTTGCGGAGAGATTGTGAGATGGTGGTTAGGTCTCAGCAGCAGGAGGGACGTAGAGGTCAGTAAGCTGGGCTGAGTTGAGTGGGGGACGGAGGGGGGTGATTTTGGGACGCAAGAGTCACTGTCTTCGTGTTTTGTCATTTACGCCTGTGTTATGGAAATCATCATTATGAACAGCAGCTACGCTAATTATTTTCCCTTTGCTTTTCTGCTGTTATCTCGGGACGCGAGTCCCGAGAAAATGGCGTTCGTCAGCTCCAGTTTGTATCCAGCCTCTCACGGAGACTTCAGATGCTCCAATCACAAAGCCTATGAAGTGACGACTCTACACGGGCGATATGGACTCTCTATGGTGGACGGCACTGATCCTCAACAACTCGTCTTAAGACCGGCGTGCATACTTGGACTTCCAAAAATACTCTAAATGTTCCGATCCAATCTGACTTGTAATGCTGCCCGAATCATGCACTGTTCCTTCGTTGGCCAGAGGAGAACTGGCCCCCCGACTGAGTCTGGTTTCTCCCAAGGTTTTTTTCTCCATTCTGTCACCTGATGGAGTTTTGGTTCCTTGCCACTGTTGCCTTGGCTTTTGGCTTGCTTAGTTGGGGACATTTAACATTTAATATTCAATAATATTATTGATCTGCCTTACTTAAGGTGGACGTTGACGCAATTTCTTTTAGAAACAAACTTTGTTATATTGTTTTCATGTTATCACTGTGAAGCGCTTTGATACAATCTGTATTGTAAAAGCGCTATATAAATAAAGGTGACTTGACTTGACTTGATATACAGTCGCAATTGCGTGTTGTAAAGTCAGAATTGTGAGATATAAACTATTCTGAGGGGAAAAAGTTAGTCTTTTTTCCCCCTTAAATTGGCCTGATAACTCGCAATTGGCTTTATGCCACAGCTTCTTCACTACTTCCTGAACTTCAGCCAGCCCTTTGTTTCCTGTCTGTCATTATTGGACAAACTGATTAATCCAGGTGCGCCTGGCCTCAGTAACAATAATTAGGCACACCTGGATTAATCAGTTTGTCCAATAATGACAGACAGGAAACAAAGGGCTGGCTGAAGTTCAGGAAGTAGTGAAGCTGTGTATAAAGCCTATTGCGACTTTATATCTCACAATTCTGAGAAAAGATGTCAGAATTTCAAGATATAAACTCGCAATTATGTGTTATAAAGTCAGAATTGCGAGATGTAAACTAGCAATTGTGAGAAAAAAAGTCAGAATTGTGAGATAAAAAGTTTTATTTCTCATAATTGCGACTTTATATCTCGCAATTGCGACTTTATTTCTCAGAATTGCGACTTTATATCTCACAATTCTGACTTCATACCTCGCAATTGTGAGATAAAAAGTCGCAATTTTTTTATTTTATTTTTTTATTCAGTGGCGGAAACAAGCTTCCATAGTTTTGCGATGATGACAAATTTGGGAAACATATCACAGTCTGTGAAAATGGTCCATTTTCCTGCAAACTTAAGTTAACTTAAAGCTATTGAATGGATTTCAAAGATAGGAATATAGCTAAAAATTCATATGGGGCACTTTTATGGCACTTTCTGGAGGAGGTAGCCATTGATCACGATCTATTTTTTATGTATGGAAAAGAGCAGCATGAATATTTTTTTAAATATCTCCTTTTGTGAATGAAAAATGGTTTTGAATGGCATAAGGTAAGTAAATGAAGTGAATGTCAAGAGACATTAGCAGATATATTCAACTCTTCAAATGTTTGGGATCAGTAAGAGTTTTGAAATATTCTCTTATGAACACCAAGACTGCATTTATTTGATCGCATTGTGAAATATTATAAAAAATTTAAATAACTGTTTTCTATTTTAATATATTTTCTATTTTAGAATTAAATTTATTCCTGTGATGGCAAAGCTGAATTTTCAGCATCATTACTCCAGTCTTCAGTGTCATATGATCCTTCAGAAATTATTTCAATATGCTGATTTGGAGCTCTAGAAACATTTATTATTATTATCAATGTTGAAAACAGACCATGACAGATTGATTCTTTGATGAATAGAAAGTTCAAAAGAACACCATTTATTTGAAAAAATATGTATATATTGTAACATTATACATTTTATTGTCACTTTTGTGCAATTTAATGCATCTATAAAAGTAAAATAAAATAATAAAAGAATATTTTTTTCAAAAGAAAAAAATCTTACTGACCCCATAGTAGTTTATCAATCTTAGTTTCTAAATGTTTTTTCCACACATGTAAAGAAATACATTAATGAAATAAATGTCCATGAAGTTTTTTTATTTGGACATAAAAGTTATATAATTGAAGTTATTTACCAAGACTGAAGAGGACTCTTGTGTGTCCCTTCTGCAGCTAGTGCTTTACTATTAAGGCTGCAGTGACCACCGATCTCACCCTGTTCCAGGAAATCCTCTTTATACCTGCAGTGGCATAGAGGAAGAGAGATGCAGAGAGAGAAAGAAAGAGGACTCATTTAGACAGGAAGTTCTCGCAGTTCTGCCAGAGAGAAAACAATTTCACAGGGTTTTGCATTGTGCCTGACCTCCAACGACCCTAGATGGGGTAACTGACCTCTCGTGACCTCTGCGGGGACTCCTCAGGTCCAGGTACAGGTTTGTGGCCCTGCAGAACCGCATATGATTGGAGCACTTCAGAGAGGAATCACCCTTTTAAAAAAAAGTTTCAAACTTGTACTTGCAAGTTTGTTCCCAGTATTGTTTGGACATGTTGAAGCAGTAACTTTTAAACAGCCTTTATGTCTTAAGTTCAGTGCTCATGCTCAAAGCTCTGGAGAACTTTACCAGAGCTTTACCACGGTAAAGACGAGGCAAATGAGACAGAGGTGGGGGAGGAAGAAGAGGGAAACTCACAGGACTCGACGGCTTGCACAATGTCTTCATCTCACTGAGACGCTCCCTCACGTAGCCAAAATCTGCCTGCTTCCAGAACAGTTCCTGTGCGGCCTGAATAGAGCTCGCCCTACAGAAAGAAGACAGACACTGGCACTATTTGGAGCAGATAATAGAAGTCTTTGTTTTGAAGGTGAAGTCCTTGAAGTGCTTGAGTGACACAGCGGAAAACAGCCTGTGTTCAAATGTTAGTAACTTGTGTTAGCTTAATATTAGCACTAGACAACTTTGCTTTCCACGGTAAATAGGGTTTGTAGTGCGAATTGAGAAAATATGTGTAAGACACGGGTGCAAACAGTTGAATTCGTCAATGTTTCACACAATAGTTTATGGAACTACAGTTGACATGAACCTTCAATTGAAGAAGATTTCATTACTTAGAAAATAAGTCAATCAAGCCCTACATGCGAACACTATTATTTATCTTACTGTGTGCTGGAGCCTGCAGGAGAATGATATGTGAGACTAAGAGGCCTGCAGTAGGTCATATATGGTGAAGAACCTTCTATTAAAATATATAAAGAATGTGTTACACATGGTGTTGCCAAGAATATCTATAGAATGCATGGATAAATATTGAGAACGGGAAGAAATCTGGAGCTACTCCCTGCAGAAAGCTGCTCGGATTTGTTTAATAAAGTCTAAATCTCTCACAATTTTGAGAAGTGATTTTTCACAAAAAGAGAAACCACAACACAAGCAGTGACATACTGTACTTCATCTGAAAATTTTTGTATAGATATTTAACTTGTTCTTATACAAACATAATTGGGTAACACTTCACAATAAAGTTCAATTTGTTAACATTAGTTAAGTTTTATTTCTTCTTTATTTAAGTTTTAAGTTTTAGAACATTAGTTCTTTTTTATTTCAAGTATGTATTCATGTTAATTAATGCATTATGAATAAAGATGAACTGACAATGAATAAACAGCAGCATATTTATAACTTTACTGTAAAAAAAACATTAATTTCATGTAATATTTCATATTATTTATGTAATAATTATTCATTATTAAAAATATTATAATTATTTCACATATTGGGGTCAATTATTAAATAACAATATTAATTTTATATTATATTATCAATGTTATAATATAATTATATTAACAATATTACAGTTTTTACTGTATTTTTTATCAAATGAATGCCTTGGTGTGCAAAAGAGACAATCTTACGACCCCAAGCTTTTGCGAATATCTGCTAATATTGCTTGATATTCAACCAAAAATAAACATTTCTGCCAACACTTATATCATGTCATTCAAATGTTTGCCATCCACAAAACGAGATACTTTAAAAACAGTTCATCCTGCTCTTTTCCATACAATAAAAATAGACTGTGATCAATGGCTACCTCCTCCAAAAAGTCTTATAAAAGTGTCGCACACAAATTCCGATCTTTCAGTAGCTTTGAGGGTGAGTACAACTTGATGACAGTTGTTATTTTTGCTGTCCTGTCTGCCTATATACATACATATACATGGGTTATGAATAGTGGGAAAACATAAAAGTGTTAAAGGAAAATGTAGGTCAGTAAAGGAAGGCGTACCATCCTGAGTCAAGACTGGTGCACACAGGATAGCTGAATCTGTGCTCAGCGGAGCAGCTCTTTTCATACCCCCAGCAGGAATTCGTGAGCAACAGACCATCCTGTCACAGCCGACAGAGACACAGAGTTAAGAGAACATCCCGTATAATCATCTAATGACATTAAAGCACATACACAACAACACTAGAAATTAGTGATAAAGTCACAAGCTACTGTATACCAAAAAGATACCAGCTCCTAATCCACCATTAAAGCTGATGTATTGCAATGTCTCACTTCTAACCCGACTTCAGCACACATTCCATAAGAAACAAGAGGAAATAGCTTACTTTAAAAGGGCAAAGCGGGTCCTCCTTGCAGAGTTTGACCAATGGTTTGTTGTTGTGCAGAAAAAATGGAATATGCTGCTGAGGCAGAACCAGGCTGCTGTAGTCCAGCTGTGGCGTGCGGCTGCTGTTCTGGCCACTGTCTGTGGTGGAGATGGTTTTATAAGTGCAGGCCAGGCACAGAGCTACCAGCAGCAGCATAGTCCCTCAAGCCACATGGAAGGAACCACACTGGCTCTCAGCACCTACATGAGGGAGAGGGAGAGGGGGAGAGAGAGAGAGAGAGAGAGAGAGAGAGAGAGAGAGAGAGAGAGAGAGAGAGAGAGAGAGAGAGAGAGAGAGAGAGAGAGAGAGAGAGAGAGAGAGAGAGGGAGAGGAGAGAGAGAGAGAGAGAGAGAGGGAGAGAGAGAGAGAGAGAGAGAGAGAGAGAGAGAGAGAGAGAGAGAGAGAGAGAGAGAGAGAGAGAGAGAGAGAGAGAGAGAGAGAGAGAGAGAGAGAGAGAGAGAGAGAGAGAGAGAGAGAGAGAGAGAGAGAGAGAGAGTGTGTTTAGAGCTAGAAAGCTAATGGTTTACGGGGGAGCCGAGGACAAACACCAAAGCTCTGGAAGTAACAACAGTGTGGGAACCTGCAAATGAACGGATCTTACTCGATGTGAAACTCCTACCACAGGAAATATTAGTGACCTTTTTCCTTCAATTGTTTAAGCAATAAGGCCAGGATTGAGGGAAATTAATAGAAAACAATCTATGGCTATGTATGTTCTCTGATATGGGTTGTATGTTATGTGTGTTCTACTAATATTGAATGGGGATGATTTCTATATAAAATCTATAAATATAAAAATATATAAAAAAAATGCCTGCCTCAGTTTGTTATTTTTCATAGCATTACCACAAGTACCTGAATGGAATCGATCACAACGATAATGCTCTAGTGAAAATAAGCACTTCTTCTTTACACAGATTTTTTAATAAAGTAAAAGCAAGCTTTAAAATTGTTTCAAGTTGTGACAAACATTTTTAACAACATTTAAGTAAAGTGATTTATGTCACTTAGGAATAAAATTTAAACATCAAATAAATTAATTATATATAAATAAATAAATAAAAGTAGAACCTATTAACTAAACTATATTTTGGTTTGTAGTAATTGATTTTTTTCTATACATGAAAAAAATTGTTTAATTTTTTTTTTTGTGACTGACAATTCTGAATGTTTGAGCTTGACAAATGCAGTCAGTCAATGCTACAATTTCTGTAAAATGTACTAAAAATGGAATAAGAATAGCTGTCTTTCTATACCAGACTGTAGAAACAGTTAATAGGATGTTACTACTTCTTGTACAACATTTTTTTTTTAAATTAAAATTAATCCAATTAATTTCATTCAATTATAATTCAAAACATTATGTCAAAATTATGACATTGTTCTATTATTTTGGATACAGTCGAACCTCCGATGTGGGACATGTCAGGCCAAGCCTGACATTTAATGTTTTAAACTACCTTTCATGGTAGACTAATTTTACATTAGATAATAGTTTAGCAACATAAACATAATATTTGTGACTTTGAAAATAAGTCATGGGACATCAAAGTGGAATGTTTACTAAAGTTATTTGTCAACGTTAATAAATTAACATAGGCTTAATTGCTTACTAATAGTAGTATATTAATAAAAATGAATATATTATTTTTCTTTATAACTATGATATTTAGGTATAGCTATGGTGATTTTTTTGCAAGGGGAAATGACCAACTGCTTTGCTCTGTTGACTTGTAGGCTAATTATGACAACGTAATTACAGATTATTACATGATTAAAACCCCGTGGGAAAAAATACGCCCCCATTATGCAAATATGACCGGAGAACTCCAAATGAACCTAAATTAACTGAGCAATCTTTGCACAAATCACCACGACAATCATAGTTTACGTCCAAATACTTTAATAAAACTCCTGGAATTACAAGCATTGTGTAGCCTACTAAAAAAAGATAGGCTATTTAACACAATGACAGAAAGTAAACTTCTGGCATTAATTGAAAGAGATGTCCCTTTTTAATTACTTATGATTTACAGTAGTAAAAATAGCTAGAGTAACTGTATGACTACCACGGGATTTTGAACTATTAGATTCGTCAATTCTAAATTCAGTGTCTAATGCGATCTGTCTCAGGGCAGATCAAATAGATTAACAAATGCGCACTGTATTCCAATCTCATTCGCTTCGTGGAGCAGGTCAATTAAATGTCCCACAGAAGAGTAAATGTACCATACTGGATTTTAAAAACTCTGTATTCCTGTTCATAGATACATGGTAAAAGTTAGTGAAATCTGCACAAGTCTGCACGTTTTTCCCCCCCCTTGTTAAAGGAATTCAAACTACAGAGCTGCGATTCCCAGATGCACCGACACTCCACGATGTCAAAATAACACACAACAAAAAATAATAATAGTGCAAGCTGAGGTGGGGACCGTAACAACCACAAAGACTTGACACGTTGCCAGGGTGAGAAGCTTACAGCTGTCCCACCATCAGTTATATTATATCAGCTGTCTTTACTAGCTCAAAAACACAATACCCACACAAAAGAAAATTAACTTTGTTCCGACTTTTAGTAGCTCTGAGAAAGTTAAAGTGAATAGTCACAGTGCTAACAAAAAAATAATAATTATATGCTTACCTCCTTGGAGAAACTAAGGAAAGGCAGTGGGTGAATTTAGGGATGCAGTCGCCATACTACCGGAAACTATCAGCCGGCATGTGTTACTGCTATTAACCGCAAGAGGGCGCACGAGAAGATCTTAATTTTATACTGATTAAGTCCAAGAAAACTATATTCGTTACTTTATAAAAAATAATGTATTTGTTAAAAAGAGCTTATTAAAGAAGAGATTCATAATAATAACAATAATAGTAATAATATATATACTGTAGTAATAATTAAACACCAAAACAAAGCTGGAAAAAATAAAAGCAGATATTATTAATACTTCTACTAACAATAATAACATATTACTTACTATATAACTAAAAGCAATATTTGTAATTATTAAACATTAAATAGAATAATAAGGGTGGAAAACAAATTGAGTCTGCCCAATACATATCTCTTACTTTATTTACATGTGTGCAACAAAAACTGAAGATACACTGGGAGCGTCTTACAGTGACATGACTGTAATGTATGCTTTACAAAGATCATATCTTATAGAATATTACAGTGGAAGATTTCCGTGGACCCCCTCATCACTAAAACTCAATCAGCGTGAGACGAGATAAAAATGAGTGCAAAACTTAACTAACAACTTTAAATATACTAACTGAAGGGGTTTGAAGGACGCGTAGTACCCTGGAGTTGTCTGGAAAGCATGTTTACTTGTTTTCACAATGTGAAGAGACAGTCAACAGCAAATCAACTACTTAGCAGTAAGATGTGCAGTCCAGAGGATGAAGATCAGGGGGAAATATAGCAATTAATTCATGATTAAAATCCAAACTCCCACTTCATTGTGCAAATTCAAGTGTTAAGAAACAACCATAACCTATACACTGACAGATAGCCATGTCATTTCTTAAACCAAACATGGTTATTTATAGAGAATGTTTTTTTTATTTCAAATAAAATCCCACAACCGTGAGAGCAATCATATCTTAAATAACTATATACTATATGACCCTTGAAATATCTTAAACATTTTCTCAGAAAAAAAATACATTTAAATGACTTGGTCTTTTGTTACCAATGCTGAGATGTGAAGCACAGTTACTCCTACAGTAAAGCTCTGTTTACAGTCAGTGTGAGCCAGTCCTTTCGCAGAATCTACTATTTTTGATTTTTTAAGAGTTCATCTATTTGCGTTTTGTACATGTTCTTCACATCCTCCAGGTCCAGACGCAGCTCTTCCGCCTCCTCCGCCTTCTCTCCATACATCTGCAGGATTGTGTTGTGCCTTTGTTCTAGATCCTGTGATGCACATAACAGTTGGTCAGTGTTTAAAGCCTCATACCTATTACTGTGCTTGTTAGGCAAACAGATCATTTATCAGGATCCTCTATGAGGAATGGTGAAATTGGTCTAAGGGGATGAAAAATTAAGACACTTTGTTTATATTTAGAGGATACAGAGAGTGAACAATTCACTCTACATGAAAAATAATTGAAACATTTACACTACAGTTCAAAATTTTGTGGTCAGTAGGTTTTTTTTGTTTTAAATAAATTAGGACACATTAAATAAATCTAAAGTGACAGTAAAGACTTTATAATGTTACAAAAAAATGTCTATTTTAAAAATGTTCTTTTGTACTTTCCATTCATCTAAACCAGGGGTCTCAAACTCGCGGCCCGCGGGCCATTTGCGGCCCGCGGGGTGATATTTTGTGGCCCCCTACTTGACATTAAAGTTTAATGTTAGTGCGGCCCGTCGTTGCGTGTGCCGCGTAAAAAAAAAAAAAAAAAAAGTATCCCTTATGAGCTACCATAGATAGTCTCGTGACAGCTTACGGAGGGTTTGTTGTCAATAGTTGTCATAGACAACCGCGAAGTACAAACATACTGCGCCTGGAAAAAATGAGCGCGTCGCTTCAATTATGAGCGCGCTTGCCGCGCGCCTACATTTGAAATTGAACTTGAGCGCGCAAAATATGTGAGCGCGATATGTGAACGGCCCCTTGGCAAGCTACCACCAATCAGGCCACGAGCTACTGGTAGCTCGCGAGCGACGTGTTGGAGAGAGACACTGCTCTAAAACAATGTGAGAATAATCACTTTGAGCTTGTAATATGTGTCCAACAGGTTGATAAGAAGGTTTGCTTTGATTTGTGCAGTCAGTAATTTGAGACACTATACAAAGAATTCAATAAGACGGGCAGACATGACTGCAAATATTTGTATTTCAAAAGCAATAATTGTTTTTCTAAGTATAATAAAAGGAAATGTGCCTTCCAAAAAAAACATTCAATATCATTAATGTGTTGTATAAAGAAAATAAAAAGGACATAAGCAAATATAAATATCACAAATATGTGTTATAGACAAAGAAAGTTTGTAAAATGAACTTCAACTGTCAGAAGGACAGCTCATGAAGAACCAATCATGTACAGAAAGGAATGTTCAAATTCAGAGGAACAGTTCAGAAGAAACGTTAATAATAAATATTGAGAAGATTGGATCAGTTGTGCTCCTTTTTTGGAATACTTGAATACTATTTTTTTGTGGAATACTTGATGCGGCCCAGCCTGACCCAGACTCTACCTCCAGCGGCCCCCAGTTAATTTGAGTTTGAGACCCCTGATCTAAACATTCTGAAAAAAAAAATGTATCAGGTAAAATTTATTTTTGTACTCCACAAAAAATACCAAGCAGCACAACTGTTTTCAACAGTATCATAATAATAAGAAATGTTTCTTGTTTCTTATTAGAATGATTTCTGAAGGATCATGTGACACTGAAGACTTGAGAAATTGCTGCTGAAATTTCAGCTTTACCATTACAGGACTATATTACATTTACATGTGTATTTTTGATCAAATAAATGCAGCCTTGGTGATCATAAGAGACTTCATTCAAAAACATAAAAAAATTACCCCAAAACATTGAATGATAGTATATATCTTATTATAATAATAATATTAAGGTGTTTACATGAAGGCAATTCAGTCCAATTGAGCCGTCAATCCAATTACTAATACATGCGTTTACATGCATTATTTGGTTGCATGTAAACGTAGCCAGTGTTTTCTATCGGTACAATATGCGTCACATGACTAAATGTGTCATTCTTTTCAAATAGCTCCGTTTTCACAGTCCACACTTCAACATGAAACCGGCGTTTTAGAATTTACCCACTTGGGAGCGTGTCTTCAAAAAGCTCAGTTTTCACAGGACAAAAATGCTATCTCAGTGTGGACAAAAGGCCAAAACGCAGAGAAAAGATGTGTTTTCAAATGATTCAGGATTAGTGTAAACAAAAAACGGCAAGTAAATTTGTAGCAGTCTGTTATAAACTGCCAACAGTTGTCTCTGCTTTAAAGTAGCATTTTGCTTGTGTTCACCTTCAGTTGCACTTTCAGTCTAGGGATTTCCTTCACTTCATCCTCTATCTCATCGTTCTGATTGGTCAGTCGCACAAGCTCTTCTGTCATCACAGTTCGACTTCTCTCTAGACTAGCAATCTCCATCTTGTGGATAACCAAAAGAATTGAATCCAAATTAGTACATAAAATATTCAGCTTTTAAACACAAAGTTAAATGACTAGTTTTAAACATTACAGTAAATGTATAATCTTCCAAGCCCAGATGTAATTTTGCACATGATGAAAGACTATTCCATTAAAAGGTGTACCTGCAGCTGGGCTATCTCGCCCTCTCTGAGTTTGAGCTGAGACTGCAGGCTCTCAATGATACTGGATCCACCACCCAGTCGAGCCGCTTCATAAAGGTTAGTCCCACTGATAGACATGGTCATAGTGCTAAAAGAATGGTCGAGAGAATCCTCCTGCTAAAAAAAAACAAGTGATTGTGACAAACTGAAAAATATTTAGGAAGAGAAAAGATTTTCTGCATCTCAACAGGTGTGGACAGGGGTGAGATGAATGTACCTGTGAGAAAATGGAGGATGGTAAGCCAGCATGCTCAGCCCCACTAACGGAACTAGAGCGGGACAATGAGGGAGTGGAGGACGCTGGAGCATCAGTCACAGACAAACTTAGAGACTTCCTCTCCTGATGAAACAAAAACACAGAGATCCCTATTTTTAAACTCTTGAAATGAGTTGATTTTATGGCACAGTTATTATCATAACTGCTAGGTGTGATTTTTGAACCTTGTATAAAATGATAATTGTAACTATTTTGGAGGTAAAGATTAATAAAAAGGCAGATTCAGAACACAAGAGCAAAGTCTGGTCTTTTCATGCAAAACCTTTTCTTTGAGGGCCTCTTGTGCAAGGTAGCATTTCTTCTTCTCCTGTTCCACCTTCATTTTCTCCATTTCCAGTTGGTTGGCGAGAAGCAACTGAAGACGACCAAATAATACAGACATTGAGAATCGTTTTTTGTGTATATATTTTGTCTAAAGTGTTCAAAAAAGCAAATGGTACCTTCTCCTTCTTGGCCTCTTCTGAGACTCGAGCATATTCCCATTTAAGATTCTCCAGCTCTACACGCTCCCTACACATACAAAAATCAATTCAATTCACATTTATTTGTATATCGCTTTTCACAATACATGACATTCACATTTCCAGCTTAACAGAAAATGCATGTGTCTGCATTACAATATAAATCAGAGTGAGAATACTGCCACTAACAATGCCAGCTTCTTTTTCAATGTTAAACACATCTCCTACCTGCTAAAGTCATCCTCCAGTTTTTCCCGCCGCATCTTCTCCGCATCCAGCTGCCCCTGCAGGCGTCCTTTCTCCTGCCTCAACAAAGAAGCCTGGGATTCTAAAGATGCTATTTGTGCTCGGATGGCTAGTAGCTCCTCTGTAGCCGAACGCTCTTTCTCTATAGAAACAGCAAGCTGGGCTTGGGCATCAGCTAAGAGAGAATGACAAGTGAAAACAACTTGTGAATGTCAAATGTGGTTTATTGTTTTAAAACATCAGATTTAAACAGATGACATAAGCCACTAATGTTCATGCAAAACAAGCATGTCTCACCTAAGCGATCAGAGATGTTCTTCTCTAGTTTTTCCCATGATGCTGTCTGGGCACCAAGTGTGGCCTGGAGGTTCTCTATCTGTCGCAAGAGGGGCCGTGATGCTGATGTAACACTTTGGCTAAGTTCCT